ACATCAGAGGAACAAGTGCTTTGAGCTGTGGCTGCCGCTGCTGAATTAGAGGTAAAAATCTATTCAGGAGGGAAAATAATCAAATGAATGTGACTGCTGTGTCGAACATGGCGGGGGTTTTATCCACCTGACACACAGAAACTAAATCAGTTCTTTGTATTTAGGCAACTCACTCTTAATGCTGCAGCAAATGCAATCTACGCCAATAAAAGGGACGTGGTTAGGACACTTGCTTTCTAATTCAGTAAATCTGTCAGGGGCTGTTTGGGCAGCTTGTGCATTTGCCTGGAGAAGGTTTTCTATCATTTCAGCGGAAGTAATAGAAATGAGAACACACTTCAAGTTATATATTATGCTACATATTTTTGTATGCAGTGTTTAGATTAGGGGGAAGCTGGCTTTCAAGATGGCATAAAACTAAGTGAGAAAGAATGTACAGCTTCAGTTAGAAAACTACAGTAAATGGTCACTAGAGAAATGCCTCAAACACTTTCCTGCTTCTTTGACCTTTATTGGAGTTCAGCTCAATTCCAAGTATGGTAGCCACCAACCTTTCAGGCTTCATAAAGACATGTTTGGAGCGTGCTAAGAGTGTGAAAGCCAATTCTATTCCTGTGCATCTCAATTGTATCAAGATCCTGTGGATTCGATAATGAGAACAATTTGCTTTGAGTCATGCTGGAATCGGCCCTTGGCCTTTTCCACTTCTGGCCAATATATCCTGCTGTAACCTACTCACAACCCCCTCCCTGCTGTGTAGCCTCTTTCAGTCCCTCCAACCAACTTTCTGTCTAAAAATATTTCTCTGTTTTTTTCTCTCTCTCTGTTCTCCCTCTTTGTTTCTATGGCAAAGCTATGATTAAGTGCCTCCATTAGAACACTTAATTAGGGATTCTATTCTCTGCAGGAACTGGCCAAGTGTTTTGCACCCCAGCAGCCCGCTGCAATGCAAAATGATTGCACATATGTGTAGTATGTACGATCACACGCATAAACAGAGGTAGGCACTGACGCAGCTTACATAGCACCCTCTCCTCTGCAAAGTCACACAACAGAGCTTAGCGTTTTAACAGGCAACAGATTGCCCATCGCCAACTGCAATAATTACTCATTTTACAGCTTCCTCCAGTTAACAGGCATGCTGCTGTCAGTGGGCTTCATGCAGAAAATGAGGGCCAGTGTGCTGAAGGTAGGGGGGCTACAGAGAGGCTTTGGCTGCTCTGTCAGAATATGTGCGTGCGCTGCGGTGCAGTGTGTTTACTTTGGGAGGACTTGTGCATCTGCTGAACATACATAGATGGCGGCAGGTTCGATGTGTGCGATTGCGTGCAGACCCAAAAAGAAGAAGGCTGTGGGGGCTGGCACCAACCCCATCACAAACAAATACTGTCACAAATACAAACACGGAAGTATAAACATGAAAAACAGGCATGCAGAGGAACACCCACATTAGCCCGACAGCATATAACCACTGTGAACGGATGTCAGATCAGTTAAAAGTCCTACAGCCGGTTTTTACAGTAAAGAGACAACAGCTATCATGTATAGCCCAGACAGAAAATGCAGTGATTCAAATCCTGCAACAAGGCTGTAGAGTTTTGGAAACTGTTCCGTCTTTGATGTCTGCGGAGAGGAGAGAGCAGACTGTGTGTTCAGGAACAGGTTGAGTTATATTAGCCATTTGTATAAATCCAGTATGATACTGTTTTACAGTGCACCCCTGGTGTTTGCACCATCTGGAGATTTTTCAGTCAGAAAAACATCAACTCTCACACACACAAGCTAAGACAGTTCTTCCTAATAGGCTCCTTTATCTCGCTCATTGAACTTGTTTTTTAATAGACGTGGTAACAGGATATAAAGGATTACAGCCTATTTCTTTATTATAATACGCTTAGTCATTTCATTGAGGAATAAGTGTTAAGGTCAATGTTATTGCCTTTAATGTACGGTGTAGTGACAGCTATAGTAGTGCCCCAGCTGTTATCTGACATGCAGAAATACCGTTTTACTGTTTCTAGTTTTATGGCTGTTTTTGCATCGTCGCTTCCTATCCCTTTTGTCCTCGCTCACCCTTTCTGTCTCATTTACTTTCCACATGTCATCCTCTTGTCCTCTTTTCTCTTCTCTCTATGTCTCTCTCTCTCACTCCACCTGCCTCTCTTGCCTCATCTGATTATTGTAGTTGGTTACAGGTGCATGGTGGTGCCTCCGCCAGGCCATTAGACAATGCTTTGCCAACTTATTACACCATCATCATTGGCCTAACTGGCTGCCAACGTGGGAGCAGCTGGGAAATTCACTTTGCCTGCCAAAACCGAACAAATAAAGAATATTGCGTCATGCAGCTGTATTATATTCTAAGAATAAGGTTGGCTAACTTAAGTTTCATCAGAAATGATTCTGCAAAGTTCTACATGGGTCATTTTAAGATGATATTATGCATATTTCCCACTGTGATACATTAAACACTGACCAGACTTGGTTAAAATTCCCTTTTGAATAATTCAACAATGATAGATGAAACTAAAAAAAGTAGCAAAAGATTGTTGTCAGGATTTGTGATTTGACGATCTGAATAAAATGCATTAATAAAACATTCAAGCTGCCACAATGGCAACATCAAAACCTCTAAATTAGTATTTGGATTAAATGGACGCTTGATTTCATGTCTGAGATCAATGCTGCACAGGATGAACAGAAACTGTGCAGACGCATTGATACTCACTGACCGTCAGAGATAGTAAGAGAGGCTTTACAGCGCTGAGACGAGATCGGTGGGGACAGCGAGAGAGAACATGTGTGTGTGTGTGTGCATGTCTGACTGTGTGTATATGTGGAGCTCCCGTTGTTTACATATGGTGCTTCCACAATACCCATTGCAAGGTGAATTCACAGACTGGGACAGAAATATCACGCGGTCGCCGAATCAATATATACAAAGTACAAAGATGTCATGAAAGCAGGGCTTGTTAAGAACAATAAAGCACAAGGAATGATTAATACTCTAGTCAAGCTAATACGTTTTTCCAATGACTGGTGCTCTTTACTAATCAAATTTTAAAAAGGTCATAAAGTTGTGCAGAACACAACCTGTGATGGCACTAAATTGAGTATAGACAAACCAACAAACTGATAAACAGACAAACTGATACAGTCCAACAGATCAATAAACAGAAAGATGGAACAGAAAGATCACCAGGACATATTTCAATGTGAGACAGAGAAATTTAATTTGTGATCATGATTGACTGCAGAGTGTTGAACCCCTTAGGAGGTGATGCTCACACATGTGAGAAGATCTATAGCGAGAATAAAGAGCCTGAGATGAGGGAATGGTGGGTGCTATCGACCAAGGAAAGAGAGAAGAAGGCGGGTGGAAAAACGGATATTGGCCGCTATAAACAAAATGCCCCACTGCCCACAAAAAGTGTTGAAGTTGATGGAAGATATTATTGTCCTTTTTTTCAAGTTACTTTTTGTAAAGCGCCCTCTCTAAATTTGCACTGACTGGTGAGACAGTGCTGATGTAGTTCATGATGATCCTACTACCCAATGTTAGCCAAACAAAAGACCTGAATTACCAGTTACATTTTTTCAGTTAAAAATATTCTGCCAAAACTCTGTTTGTAAAGGTGTGACTTTGTGTGTGTGTGTGTGTGTGTGTGTGTGTGTGTGTGTGTGTTTCAGTTGAAAATATTCTGCCAAAACTCTGTTTGTGTGTGTGTGTGTGTGGGCAGTGAGCCACCTTCCTTAACCCTGCCAAAGCCCTGGCACCTCCAGTGTCTGTCTAGCTGCAGCAGTCCAAACCCAGCAGCATGTGAGAGGTGTTACTCAACAAAACAAACAACTCCCCCATCCCATCCCATTCCATCCATGTAGCACCTTCCCTCTCCCCATTACCATAACTGGCAGGGCTGCTTTATAATACTTCTGCTTGAAATCATCACATTAGACCTGATAGCATTATCCTTCTGTTGACTGGCCCAGTGCCAGTGTAAAGAGGGGACATGGGGAGACGCAGACAAGGTTAATAAAGGCAGATATGCGGCTATCTTACTCGTCACTGATCGCTGAGGTCAGATTTCTCTCACATTCAGGCTGAAACTTGATCTGTTCTGTCATGAAGATCATCCCGATTGAAAGGGTCAAATGTTTTAAAACAGAGGTGTGAAACTCAGGTATTCATCTCTGTACTGTGAAGCTGTGTGCATCATAATAGTAGCACAATAACTACCAAAAATGCTGCCGATAAAGACGCACAGATAAAGTTATCTACTACAGCAGAATGGTGTTTGTTTGTTGGATTATGGATAAATTAAAGCCATCATACATAATGTAGCATGAAGTGACAGAAAAACACAATAATCCCAACAGCAGGGAAAAGCACAACACAACTGTCAGAGTGAGAAACGGGGGGCGGGGGGGGGGGTGAACTTTGTATTGCACCATGAAAAGCACAAACTAAAGGGATTACAGTTATCACGTCACATCAAACATCAGGCCTTAAGATGAAAAGTGAAATATTTAGAACAGGAAACAGAGTATAGAGTATTTCAAGCAGAAAGTCAGGTGGAATCTCCTTTCATTGTCGGCTGTTTGAGAGCCGTGAAGAGGCAGAGTTGTAGGGGCAATCCTTCTAGTGTGTTTCTTGGCCAAGGAAGTGTACCGTGCCTGAATACGGCACGGAGCAGTCTCACTGGTCAAACAAACTAGACTTTAGAGGTGAAGCGTGCTTGGGCACAGTATGGATTGCCAGTGTGACCGCGCCCTCAGACAATCATGTAGGGGCAACATAATTGTGTTAATTTTTTTATTTACATTGTAACAGCTTTGTGACGTCCTGCCCTCTGTCTGTATTTGTTTGGCTTCCTGGCTTGTCAGACAGTAGGTGGAGTCAGGAAGGCCATTAGTCCAACTGGGAACACCTGAGTCCATCAGGACTCTGCTTATAAGTGGCTTCCACTCTAACTTGTGTCTCTCCTCTCTTTCTCCCAGGCCTCCACCGGCTGGTTTGCTTTTGTTTGCACTCTACAACACTACACTCACCCATACATTGCATTCATGACTGATTTACATAATTATGATTGTCGTTACAGCAACACTGTCCCTGATAGGTGGTACGGCATGGCTGTCAAGCTAGTTAGGGGGGCGGGCCTTCCTGCATGGTCGAACAGCCAATGTCTGGGGAGCCAACGTCTTGATTAGCAAAGGCGGGCAGGTGTGCGTGACACAAATGTTTGGGAATGTGAGAGGCTTCGTGGCAGTTGGACGAGAGTCCGTCTGTGCCTTCCCGTGTTCTTCGTAATAAGCCTTTTGAGTTATTGTCGCGCGCTTTGTGTTAAATATTGAACTGTCGTCCGACGGAGAAAAGCGTTGGTTTGAACCGAGCAGAGTGAGCTGGTCCAGAGAGTGACGCATCGTCGCGCCGAGAGAAGACTGCAACAGGTAAGGTCCGTCTCCCTTACCTTAGTTGGCGGCCACAAACAATTATGCCGCGGACAGCAGACGCCTGGAAGCCCTAGACAAGGATAAAAATCCCAGGGTTGTGTTTGCCGTGACATTGTTTTCACTTTAGTTTGATCATAAATTAACTTTCTTGAAACCTTGTTTCATGTGTGATACCATTCCTTTGTCACTTACTTTGAGCCAGTTCGTGACACAAAGCTGAATTTTATAAACGAGATTAAAGGCTCTGGAAAATACTGGGCAATATCTATCTAAACACATCAATATACGAAAAGTTGACTCATACAAAAAGGCTTGTTCTTCATACTTTATACATTTTATTTTAAAAATGGCTTACCTAAATAAAAACATACACAACCACAGCAACATTCTCTTTCCTGATCCACATCACTATCACTCTGCTATCCAGGGGTTCTGCTACTTTTGAGCTAATCTTTATCTTTGAACCTTTTTATCGCCAACAATCCATTACTCTCTACCAACCTTTATTTTTTTTCTTCCTGGGTAATCAACCTCAGAGTTTTACTGCTGGTGACGGCTCAGCTCCACTGGAGCATTTGGAGATGCTGTTGATGGATGGGAGCGTATCGAGCAATCGATTTGCCCAAACAGCTTTTCCCTAAAACACTTTTGGATGTTCTTGTCTCGTTTGGCTGAACTCTTGGTCGCAGGTTTCCAAAGTAGGAAATAAACCCATTGCAGAGTATAATAACACTAGTTCTTCTGCAAGCCATTCATTACTCGAACCTGCCGAAAGCCTTTTGTCACCTACATTTAATTACAGTCTACTTCCAGTCTTCGTTATCCTGTTCAAATTTAATGAAACGTAAGCATTTGAAATAATGCTCCTTGGTGCCAAAGTTTAGCAAAGAAATCTCAGGAGATATCAGTTTCAAATATCTATCAGGGTGGATGAGGAAGTAGACTTAAAGGACTAGTGGTCAGTGTTGAGTATTCTCACTTAACAAAAGAGCACAATAAAAACGCCGCTGTAGGAAAGCCTGATATCCCAGCATCCCCTGCAGCAAAATTGTCATGAGTATTGATAAACACAACCCACAAATACTTGATGATATATGAATAGACAATTAAAAGTTATATAGAATTACTGATGCCTTTTAGAATATCAACCTCAAATAATTTAAATCACAAGTTAAAGACATGCCTGTAAAAATAATGAAGCAGCAGACAAGTAACCTACAAAGCTCTGTTCTAACCGAAATGTTGTGTCAGTAAAAACATGCCCTAACATTTGACTTTATTCTCTTGCACCTTGGCACTGACTCCAGTGAGTAACAGGGATTGTTTCTATAAAAGTCTGTTGAGCGGGTGTTATCACAGCTCCCTGCTGTAAGATCCAGTTTGACTTACATCTCTGCTATAAAGACAGCAAGTGTAACATTTGACAGCAGGAGTGCCCTGCTGAGATCTGGACTGTGCTCACGAGCTTTGTGTTCAGCAATAACAAGTGTATTATGGTCAATGAAAATAGAGGTGCGAGCAACTTCAAAAATACAACCAATTCACACATCAATTCTTTTGAGCCACTCACATAAACTTTATGTTGTGGCGAGGCAGTTCTGATGTTGGGGCCGACAGCACCAACAATACATCTGTTAGACTGAGAGTTACTTTACCTGCCTTAGTCCTTCCTTGCTGTTCTGCATGATCCTCAGGGCGTAGTTAGACCGCTGGCCTTTGCTGTTGAATTCAATGTGGCCTGTTAGACCTTCCAATTCTACCTGTCCAAAACAGAGAGAGAAAGAGCGCAACATGTTAAAAAATCTCACCAAGTAACCCATCCTGCTTTCTCCTAAGCTGCACCTATCATCAACATGACTGCAGGGCACAATAAAAAAACACATGGATGAGGCGGTTATTTATCAAATAGAGCAAAATAGGAGAGACATTAATCATTAAGGCAAACAGTGTGATATCAAACACATGTCACACTTAAGTACTTTGATAATACATCATTTTCTCTTTAACAGGATAACACATTTTATTCACTGACAGCTCATCTTTGTCTCTCCTTCATTCTTAGTCTCACAGGATTACATAGAGATGAAATAAACTTACCTTATGGATAGAGCCTGTATCATTAACAAAGATGACAGCACAGGCTACAGAATATTACGTGCGCAGCCATCTGATATTGTCTAATTATGTTTTTCCTGTTATTCTTGTTGCTGCAAGCAAGAGTGGCAGAAAACTAACTGACTTTGCTTTCTTGCGAAGGTTAGGTTAGAAGATCTGAATCAGTTTCATTTATGAAGACTTACTGGCTGCTAGTAGCAGCTTAAAATGTACTGTACAGGTATATACCTATTTTTATTTATTTCTCCAATTCGGAACTTCAAGAGGGTCAGGGAACAGAAATAAGTAGATAATCTCAGACGGTCAAGCTCATGGAGAAGGTCATTATTGATTTTTTCTCATGAGTTTATTGAATTTTCAGAAGCCCAGACTTTCAGTTGATAACAATATAACCAAATATCTTTGATGCTAAGTTAAGCTAAATGCCTGCTGGCGACAGTTTTGTCTTTACCGTACAAACTTCAGAGCGGTATCCATACTGTCAATCTACCTCAAGAGAGTACATAACCAAATTTCCCAAAATGATCCCTAAAGGTAAGTACATGTAGTACTGGCCCTGACGTCTATGTTTATGGCTTCCAGCAGAGGCAGTCTTACCATCCTCAGGTAGTTCATGAGGCTGGTGCCGTGTTCCCAGATCTTGGAGGACTTGCAGGAGAGCTGAGTGGCACCAACATTCTGGCTTCGGTTCAACTCCTGGACGGCTGCCACCACCGCGTACACCGCATCAAAGAGCAGAGCTGAGGAGAGCTGCACAGGGAGAGGGAGGGAAGGAGGTGAATACAACATGAACACACACACACACACACACAGCAAATATTTCAAGCACACAGACTGCAAGTTTGCCATGTCAGTGGTTAGCAGTCAGTAAGGGGTTAACTTATCCCTGGAGTAGAAGTGAGATTATTCCATCAGATCATTAGAAAGACTCTGATCTGCTGACAACATTGAAACCATCTCTCTCTCTCTCTCTCTCTCTCTCTCTCTCTCTCTCTCTCTCTCTCTCTCTCTCTCTCTCTCTCTCTCTCTCAGAGAGACTCTGTCCTTCCTTCTCTTCTCCCCAATGAAGCTGGCACACCCTGACCATTCCAATTACCGCCCACCTCTCTCAGCAGGGGCCAGAAAACTGTGGAAAAAGGCTGCTTTGCCTCTCATCCCACCCCCTGTACAAACGTGCTCATTGTCACTAACTCTGCATCCTGCTATGTACATTTGTTTAAATTCATTATGGCTTGGCCAAAAGTTATGGGAAGAGATGAATTGGCTTGTCTGCTGTACATCTGTGTAAATAAACCAAACAAACTGATGTCTTTATATAGGACTGAGAGATATTGTCACAGTTATACATTTTGGAAAACAAAGAGAGCTACTAGGCCATTAAACTTTAAGACGATAATGTGCTACAACCTTTAATTGGAAACAATAATTGGTGGATTGCACATTAAGAGCAATATGGTGTAGACAAACAGCCCGTGAAGACATTACAAGTACGAGTTGATGCCCTTTAGGTTTTACACACCGCATGAAATATTACACAGACAAGTAAATGTTACTACAGCTATTCTGATTATATTCCACTCTTGTCGGATAATTTCTCCAACATAAGACCGATAATGTCATGAGTTAACACATTATTATTTCACACTTCCAGTCTGTCTTCCTTGCCATCTTTTTTTATTGCTTACATTCTTTCTCTAAGCATCAATAATCCACAGGTTTAAAACATACAGTTACAACTTAAAAGAGATACAATTAATGAAGCCTGATCACAGACATACATAATTAAGTTTTGCTTCTAAAAGTCATTCACTACTTCACCATTACTAGTAATGGTACATCAAGTATATTGACAGCTGAGAAAGAGAACGGCTGCTCCGTCAGGTCAAACTTTCAATGTGTAAATTTTAAAGACAAGATTTTTGATGCTCAAGTTTATCTCCAGATGTTTTTCATGAAGCGACTAGAGTCAACATTCGGCAGCTTGTCTGAAACTCGGCTTGTGTTGTTTTTAATATTTTCAGGCCTGTTTAACAAATTCTAATATTGCAGCAAAAACCTTTCAGCCTTCGGTTCTGTTTGAAGTTCTCAAACACAAATACTGTCACATCTTGTGGACCTTCTGATATTTTTGTCTCAGATAGGACTAGAACTTGGGCTTGTGTGTGTGGGTGGGTGGGGGGTACTTTGTTTGATTTACCCTCTTTACTGGCAGCTTCCTGCTTTCTCCCTGATTAAATTCTATATGTAAAGAGGTCACTTGTATGCATTTTCCCTATATGTGAGCCCCACAGATACATTTCCTCCAGACCTAATTACTGTTAATGAAACTACAGCACATTATCTTTGTGCGTGTCTAAATGAGTGAATCACTGTATTGCTCTGCCTCCATCAGCCTTTATTCTCTCTAGTTATTAGCTAATTAGTCACAAGTCCTAATTGCTGCAGGCTTAGACGTATCTGAGTGACCTGCTGTGCACAGAACACAGCCCTATTTTAATGCTGCTTTCAAACTATTCTTTACCTGATTCAGTGGCCAACTGGTGTGAAGAAGAAGAGGGTGATTTTTTTATAATGACTTCAAACAGAGAGAAGGGTTTATTCTTTAATCGACTTGCTTCATTTCTGGTTTCTAATGAAGCCCTTAAGCAAAATAAAGACCTGCACCAAGATGTGCTGTTCTTTTATCTGTTGGCAATTATATCTAATTACATAAAACAAGTTTGATAAAAAAGTGAAAGAAAATGTTTAATTTCCTTGAAGAAGTTCAGTCCAAGTATACACGTTTGACTTCATGGTTATGTAGACAATAAGGTTAATGTTTTTTCTCTACACTGTTTAGTTAAGATATAATATGGATACAAAATCATACTGTAAGTATAATTTGTTTCCTAACAAGTACATAATGTAAAAAACAACAATGTTTTAATACGGTATATATGAAGAGAAGATTCAACCAACTGGTTTATATGATAAAAATTATTCAGTTAACTTTTCTTTGCTGATCTCTGCAAACAGGAAGTTAATCTAATGGCGGGTAAAGTAAATCTTGTTACTCTAAGTTACAGTTTTTTACGAGGGACACTTTTGGAGAAATGGATGCGACAGCTTAGCCTTGAGAGAGATTAATGGGGAGCCACATAATACTTGTTAAATCGGGTCTTATTTACAAGAGGTCATTTGGAAATAGGTGGCACACACTGGGTCATTCAGTCTGATAAGCCTGTCTTATGAAATACTTTTAAGATTGTTAGGCTAGAAATGGTAACATGGTCAACAATGGGGACCAATTTTCTGTGTACTGTGAGTGAGTCATAAAGGGTATGATTCATATCTTTGCCGAGTTAAATACAAGCATGCAACAGCCTTAAGTCATTTTTATGTAAACTGTAGCTTCCCTTTTTTGAGGCTGTGTTTTGAAGTCATGACATTTATTATGCTGAGCACACTTTTTAAAACATTGAAGAAAAGACAACAAAGAAGTTCAAAGCTGAACAAGTTGTGGTTAGGACACCGGATGATTTAAAGGCGGATGCTCTTTAACTTCCCCTTTTCCTCTGAAGCACATTTAGCGAAGACAAGGCAATTCTAAATGTAATACAGAGGGTGCCAGACTCTGCTAATGAGCTGTTTGGGAAACAATAACTGCCTAAAGCATAACCTGCAAGTATAGCAGTTAACTGAAGAAATGTCAGCGCTGTATATTAACATTCAGATGTTTTGTTTGTATATTAAAAGAGTAACGTCTAAGAGGGCAATTTGGACTTGGCAAGGAAATAAAAAAAGACAAGATAAGATAGAACTTATTCATTTCGGAGGAAAATTTGGTGCCAGGTTGCTCCAACATCACAAAAGGTTCAAAAAGGTTTGCATTGCTAACCTTATTCTTCCCTGTGTGTAGGATCACATTTGTGTTTGTATATGTGTGTGTGTGTGTGTGTTGTGTACACTTACTGGGGTGCCAGCAAAGGGTGCATGGTCACAGTTCTCTTGCCAGGAGCGGTTTAGGCTTAGCACAAAATCCTGGAAGAAGGGATGTGTTTTGTTGAAGACTGAAAAACCGACTATGTTGACTCGTTGGTCCACCACATCGTCCAGCTGAAGTAAAGAGAATTCCTGCAGGGGAAAATGAGAGGGAGAGAGACAGGCGGAGAGAAACAGATTATTGGCTGCTGACCTACATGAGAGCTGTCATACAAACTGTCATGGTCTACTTTAAATTACACAGAATAATAATATTGAATTATTGACAAGGTACAAATGGCATATGTTAATCAATCATGTTTACATCTGATTCCATCTGTCTCATTTAGTTTTCATTACTTCCATTTTTCCAGGTGATTGACATTAGAAGGCTAGAGCAATTTGTCAATTCAATCCATTTAGCTACACATCAGTGCACAAAACCATGCATTTTGCATCAGCAAATGCATCCCCAAGTCTAAGTATGAATATTGGATTGCAAAGGGGCTAGAATTAGAGAGACAAACAGAAACACCTGAGAGTAATTGAAGACAGGAAATAGAAGAAAATAAACAAGAATGCAGAGACTTTGAAATTGAAACAGAAATCTGAGGCATATTGAAATGATCCAGGTTGAATGACAGAAAAATAAAAGTAATTGCTATTTGGCTTTCTTGCTCCAGGGACATAAAACTCTTCCTAACACCCGGGGAACAGCTGACAAGGGACAGGTAATTGTAGAGATGAGGATGAGCAGAAAGGAAGGGAGATGGGGGTGTGACGGACAACGGACATCCCCTGAAGGCTAATTGAGGTGTCATCGAAGCAAGAAACTCCGAAGATAAGACGTGGTGGTGGGTGGAAGAGGGGAGTCTTAGAAAAGATAAATCTGTGGTTTAGATGGAAAGAGGCATGAGGTGACATCGGGTTGTTGTCAGGCCAGCTGGCACAGCTGAGTGTGTAGGGAGAAAAAATGGAAACAAAGTTTAGATGCATTAATGGTCAACTAGTTGGAAAATACACTCAGAGGCGTGTATAGACATTTAAAGGGATGAAAATTGTTATTCTAATAAAAAAGATCAAAGCTGCCAACACTTCCCAAAGACCTCTTGCCATGAAAGTAAGAACCCACCTAAAGGGTGGTACTGACTACACACATAAGGCCAAAACAAAATTTTAACGAACAGGCAAAAATGCATATTTTATTGAGTCAAATAGAAATATTAGTAGGCTCCTGGAGATATCAAAGGTTTTAAGGTCTAAGGTTCAGCAGAGCAGCAACAGAAAAAAACATTTATTTTTTCATCTGTTGGAGGAAAATGGACGAGAGGGGATTAGGCAAGTCAGATATTACTAACTCGAATTGTAGAAACATTCACGGCATTAAGTTTTACCATCAGATCCATTGCAACAACTCGTCTCCAGCACTTTGTGCTCTAGTTCCAAGATTCAACACAAATCAGGAATGCATCACTAGATCACTCTCCCAAGCATTAATCCCAGTACCGGTTTACAAAAACAGCTTTGGTCAGAGGTCATTCTTTCATACATACACTAAAATCTGAACTGAGGTCCCTCATTATATCAGGCCAACAACATCAGTGATGCATGTCAATCAGGCATATAAACACCAACTGATGAATGGACAAACCTGCAATCACATTTTAACTAATATGTTTCAGATACCCCCCCCCCCCCCCCCTGTCTTGTGTCTGATGTGAGCTTTGTATTTTTAATGTGCTGCAGAGCAGGAACCTGTTGTAAACCAGTGTTTTCTGAGTCAGGCCCATTAAACTGTAACTTTTGCAAAGTTGTTTTGAATATTTTACCGTATAATAAATTAAGTGATATCAGAAATAGGTAATGGACGCTGAGACAAAAAGCCTGAAAAGGTCAGTGAATTTATTAACTGATAAGCAGATAAGTTGAAAAAAGCTTTTAGACCAGGAGTGGACGGAGTATGAGTCACTGCACTTTGAAGACACAAGTGGGTAACTGCGCTGATACAGACTTGGAGCACGGAAGGGCAGGAGGAAACAGTGGTTGTTGACTTTGAGTGTATGGCCTATTAGTCCCCATTGCCAGCCAGAAATCCCCGGTGTTTTGCTGCTGCAAAAAGTAATCAAAATCATATTTAGATCATATATATATTTTTGCACAGCTTCATAATATAAGCAGTAATTAGGAGGGTATTGAGGGTAAAATCTTAGTTAATGGCCCATTAGCTATAGACAATGGTCGTAGAATAAGGTACTCATACGCAGCCAGTATGCTACTAATTAGCATGCTAATAAGCAACTAGTTAATGGTGAATATTGTGATCGGAAGTGTTACCGTTTACTCCCATTATTCTATCCAAGCTTATTCCTGTCGTTCACCCAACAAACTCTCTTTTGACTATGTCATCCTGCACCAATAGTGACTTTAGTTTATTTAGTGCTGCACCAAGACTGTAATCGTGTCTGAGGCTAAAATGTGTTTCCACTTTTTGCACTTCATAAAAAAGGAGTAATTAAAGCCCACAAAAAAGGTTACAAAAATACAGTTGTTAAATATGTGGGAAAATGCAATGTTGGCAACTGAAGACTGCTTAACTTGGCACTCATTAAAGAAGAAAAAAGAACCTCAAGAGACAATTTGGTAATTACTAGGATAATGGTCTAATCATCTAGTTAGAGAAGAGATTGTCTGTTCTTTGTAACTCTTCTACTGGATTAAAGAAGAAATGCTGCAGAGAAACTGATAGCCTGGCCCTCTTAATATTGCATTTTATGTTTGAAATGAGATGATTAAAAGAAGTCGAGAAGTAGAGGAGAGCTAAAAAAAAGGAATTACACATGTTCCTCAGTAGAAGCATGGTTTGAGGAACATGTAATCCTAAAAGTACATTTTTGATCACTGGAGAAAAATCTAATTTGACAAACCTTTTTTATTTCATTTAATCTAGCAAAGTTATTATACCATTGATCTCTGTGTATTACAAAAAGTCATCACTTTTCCTACAGTCCTCTTACCGTATCGTGTCTTTAGCTGTCCCTAGTGGGGCCTCAAAAGCCTTTCGGGACTGGCTGTATAATTACTGGCTAAGTGTACTTCAATAGATCATTAGAGTCAGAGCTGTGAAAACGAGCCTATCATTAAGCATGCCCCTCAAGAGTGCCAGTAAATGCATAGGCACATGCAAACCTAAACATGCATGTGCACATCCACACATGTGGAAATGAAAGCCCTATAATTGAGAACACATACACACACTCACTGAAAACCGAGGTCACCAAATTTTCCTCAGGCTGTGTCTGAGCAAAACTTATGTGTTGTGTTCATGTTGTTTCAGGGGCAGAAACGCAGACACAAAATAAGACAAATATTTACACATATGGAGGAAAAGCAAGGAAGCTAAAGGTTGAATCATTGGAGAGAGAAGAAGGTGAGAGTTCATTTGGCACAACTGAGGGCTTAAAAAGCAATGTGGGGGAAAGAGAGAAAATGAAAAGAGTAAAGATGAGAAGGGAAGAGATGGTGAATAGCGCAAGGGAGTGAGAGTCTGGCCGAGGGCCCCCTGACACCGGCTGTCACCTGGAGATCCATCAGCAGCCAGAACTGGAGCCAACCAACCAAAAACTGTTCCTTCCCCTCCTCTATTCTCTCTGAAACCTTGCAATCTGGAAGTGTGTCACTTATCTATTCTTTATCTTTGCCTCCTTTTGCATTCACTTTATGTAATTTATAATTGTATAGTATGTTTATTAGAGCCCGACAGATTAATTGGCCGGCCGATAATATTGACTGATATTAGCATATCCAGTGACTATTGGTATCGGCTAATTTTTTTCGCAGATATGCACTGATAGTACTAGATTTATTTACCAGTCAAATAGCATTTAATTGGAGTTTTATTGTATTAAACTAGCAGTTCTTTTTTCACCAGCAGTGTGCTATATGGATTACAACAAGCAATATCACTCTCCAGAGTGTCAAGCGGTGGTGCACATACAATGCGCAGTTACTTTCCAGTTGAGTGACCATCTTGTAATATGTTACACTGTTATAGATAGACGTTATGCTGTTTATCTATCCCACCAGTGTTTGATAACTGCATGTGAGGGATCAACACAATAAATGTGTACATCTGAATCGATCTCTACAGATCAAACATAGATCTAAGAACGATATCGGTATCAGATTTTTTTTCTCCCCAATATCGCCAATCGTATCGGCCCCCCCAAAAAATATTTATATGTTTTGTTTTTTTTTCTCAATGGTTTTCTTGCTCTCCATATAATGGACCTTTTACACATGACCACGTGTAAACTCCCCAAGACAAAATGCTCAAATGTGTAACTACTAGGTGTTTGTTATGATGTAGTCAGTTTTAACAGGGAATAATGAGAGCCCAGGAGAACTGACGCTGCCGATAGAGGGGTATACAGTCATGAATGAAACCCTTTCACAGCCTATACCTAACTACACTCACACAGAAATATTTATTTGCAGTACTATAAGCCTCGATAAATCCACCATTGAAAACAGGATATCTAAAATGAAGCAAAACCCTTTCTATCAAGCAGCCTCTTTCAGCTCTTCTCTTTGTCTATTGGTGTCTCATCTCCCTAAATAGGACAGAAATGCTGAGATTATAGCAACTCTCTAGATTACATCTCTGCTGCCTGCACCGTTCTCCTGTGACAGAAATCTTGATATCTCTACCTAGAAAGCTCAGTTCATAGATAACCCTTTAAATGCAAGTTAGTCTGTATAGGGTGTCCTGTGATATGAATGTATAATGGGCAGGGTTTGTTGGAGTTCTTCTCTTTACTTAGCTTTGGTGAAAATCCAAAGTTTCTGTGTTTCAATAAGTTTGAGTCATCTGAACAAATGTGTCTGTTTTTCAGTACGTTGTAACAGTGACATTTAAATTAATGGCATTTGCTTGAGTTGTTGATCGAAGATGGTGTACACTAAGAAACACTGTGATAATGTCAAATGAATCACAACAATGAATTAAAGTTGCATATTCAATGACTCATGGTAATATTTTCCACCTAATTTAGAGGATGACTAAACTGTCATACAAGTATACGTAATGAAGATCAGCTTAGTAAGAACTCAAAGATTAGCAGTGGTGGCCACCAAGGCAAGAGCAGACAGCTCAT